CACATACTTATAGACTTGATCTCCAAGATAGAAGATCCAGACCTCAAAGATAAGTATGTAAAACAGCTTAGAAACCTTTTCAATAAAAAGGATAATAAGCAACCTGTTATTGAAAAACAATTAATAAGCCTTAACAAAACTATGGAAAGATTTAGTAAGGAAAAGAAAAAAGAAGTCACCTTACAAGATCTCCAAAGTGAAGTTAATAAGCTTAAAATTGAGATAAAAGATTTAAAAGCTCAAGACAAGAAATTTGCTGAAGCTTTAACTCTTTTACAAACAGAAAAATATTCTGAAAAATCCCAGGATTCTGATCCAGAAGATCAGACTACAGATTTTATTAATCCTTTTGATCATCAAGGCAACACACAGGGGATACCAGTAACCTCCTCCTATCAGACGGAAACTTCTGGTGTAACGAACCTGCCTTCATTCCAGGAAGGAGCCTCCTCCGATGACAAAAGAATTAGTTTGATTAATTCTTTAACTGTCCAAAAATGGCATGTTAAAGTAAAATTAATCATTAACAATAATTTTCATATTAACGTTATTGCCCTATTGGATACTGGAGCAGATGTTAACTGCATCCAAGAAGGATTAGTTCCAACCATGTTTTATGAAAAAACATTGGAAAGAATTAGTTCTGCCAATGGTAGCAAAATGAATGTTAAATACAAACTTCCTAAAGTTCATGTCTGTCAGCAAGATGTATGTTTTGAAACATCATTCCTTCTTGTTAACAACATGACTGATGCTGTTATTCTTGGTCTTCCATTCGTATATCTTTTGTACCCCTTTAGTACAGATACAGATGGAATATCAACCAAGCATTTTGGAAGAAAAATTGTATTTCCATTTATTACCAAACCTGAAAAAAGCATTTAAGGCAGCTAAAAGACATTTCTGTCTCACAGTCCCTTAATGTTATTAACAGAAAAATTAAGCAAGTGGAATTTCTTAAACAAGAAATTAACCACCTTAGAACTACAGAAAACCTAACCAATCCAATCTTACAACAGAAGATCGATAGGTTTAAGGAAAACTTAGAGTCAGAAGTTTGTTCCTCCCTTCCTACAGCATTCTGGCATAGGAAGAAACACATGGTCAGACTTCCTTATATTAAAGGATTTAGTGAAGCCAATATTCCTACTAAATCCAGACCAATCCAAATGAACCATGAAACTACTGAGATCTGTAAAAAAGAAATCTCAGAGTTACTGCAAAATGGTATCATTAGGAATAGTAAGTCACCTTGGTCTTGCCCTGCTTTCTATGTCATCAAAAATGCTGAATTAGAAAGAGGAGTCCCAAGGTTAGTCATTAATTACAAACCTTTAAACAAGGTTTTAGAATGGATCAGGTACCCTATACCTAACAAACAGGATTTGATAAAGAGACTCAATAAGTCCACTGTCTTTTCCAAATTTGATCTCAAAAGTGGTTTTTGGCAAATACAGATCCACCCTATGGACAGGTATAAAACCGCTTTTACTACTCCCTTCGGACATTATGAATGGAATGTCATGCCCTTTGGGTTGAAAAACGCCCCAAGTGAATTCCAGAACATAATGAATGAAGTTTTCAATTGTATCAGTCATTTCTCTATTGTTTATATAGATGATATACTCATCTTCTCCAAAACAATAGAAGAACACTGGAAGCACCTTTATGCTTTCCATACAATTGTTAAACAAAATGGTTTAGTCTTATCTGCATCTAAGATTAAGTTATTCCAAACCTCAGTAAGGTTTTTAGGATACAATATCCAGGATTCTACTTTCACTCCTATAAGTAGAGCTATCCAATTTGCAGATAAATTCCCAGATGAAATTCTGGATAAAACTCAGCTCCAAAGGTTTTTAGGTTCCCTAAACTATGTTTCTGACTTTTATCAGGATCTTAGGCAAACCATTAAACCTCTGTATGACAGACTCAAAGGAAATCCTTCTCCTTGGACCCCTGTTCATACTGCTATTATTCAGCAGGTTAAAAAGTTCATCAAAACTCTTCCCTGTCTTGGTATTCCGTCCATTGATTCTTTTAAAATCATCCAGACTGATGCCTCCGATATTGGTTATGGTGGAATCCTCCTTCAGAGAGAATCTCCTAATTCTCCTGAACAAATTGTTCGGTTTCATTCTGGTATTTGGAATAAGACCCAACAGAATTATTCCACTATTAAAAAAGAAATTTTATCTATTGTCCTGTGTATCTCTAAATTCCAGGATGATATATTGAATCAGAAGTTCCTTGTGCGGGTTGACTGTAAATCAGCCAAGGATGTATTAACCAAAGATGTCAAAAATATAGCTGCTAAGCAGATTTTTGCTCGTTGGCAATCTATTTTAAGTATTTTCGATTTTGATATAGAATATATCAAAGGCGAACATAACTATATTCCTGATTTCCTAACCAGAGAATTTTTGCAGGAACCTCATGGCGGACAGAAAACCTAGTTCATCCGGAACCTCCTCCAAAAATTCCCGGGGGAAGGGAAAGGATAAAATATTACCCAAATCTGAACCTGACTTGCCATTAGTCTTGTCAAACAGATTCTTATTACCAACTACTCAGCCCACCAGGCCAGTAGCCCAAACCCAACCGAAGTTGAGTCAAATAATGGCCAATGAAATAGCCAGAATGGACTCAGCTAGTACCCATTCAGCCTTGGTCACCCGGCCCGTAGCCGTGTCAACCACTGTTAACCCATTAACCTTCACCCAAATGGCCCAACAACAACCTGTTAGGACCATTAGTGCCATGACAAACCCTTATCAGGCCTCACAACCTTTTGTAGCCCAATTAGGCCCAAAAGTTGATTATGTCAAAGCCTATTCTGAGAATGTCCTATCCATTGAGCTAGCCCATTCCAAATACAAGGATCCAATAGACCTTGTACAGGCCTACCTCCCAACAGGATGGACCTATATCCCAGTAGACTTGGAAAAACCCCATAGTTTTTACCAAGATATTCTCTACTATACCAAGTCCATATTCACCAAGCCCATTTATGATAAGATAAACCCATCTAAGGTTATCTATCATAGCTTGTATATTACCAAAATTATTTCTGTTGATGATTGGGGTTCTCACCCTTCTCTGCTCAGGGAACTTCCTTATCACAACAGACAATTCAATTATTATGACTACATTGAATCGTGGTCAAAAATATTACTCTACCAGAATGAGGATTTGTCCCATTCATGGTTCCTTAATTTCCATAAAGATTTCAGAAGCCATATCCCTGCATGGTTTGCACAGTGGTGGCATCTACATGGCCCCATTGATGAAATCTTTCCGGCTGATCTTAAAGATCAGATTAATATCTTTTACTCCCTTTACCGTCCTAGTAAACAGGAGTCCCCATTACCTTTATTACTAATATTTTTATGCAGGTACAAAGTCCCGTGGATACTCAAATGGCATTGGGAAATTGTTGGATTCAACTTAACCCGACAATTCTATGTCAAATGGTGGCCCAGGTTTCAGCATAGCGACACTATTGCAATGGTGAAACGAGACTTCCCTGTAAGGGTACCAACTCCAGCAGTAGTTCCAGGTCCCTTACAACCAGCAACTCCTATGAAGGAACTGCCCGCTCATCCAAGCCAGGCAAACCTTCCCACAAGACAGACTCCACCAGAAGAATCTTCACCTAAAGATTCTCAAAAGAAATCCAGCAATAGCAAGAAGAAGTCCAAGGCAAAGCTCCTCCAGAAGCTCCTTGAACAACTTAATTCAGATAGTGAATCATCTTCTCAAAGCTCTTCCTCAGAACTCCCAGCAGGATATGCTCAGGATCCTTTTGAAGGATTAGAAGACTTTGATAGTATTGATGACCTCACACCTGACCTTGCACTCCCGTGAATTATTATTTACATAAAGTGGCTTCAATCACTACTTTCTTCAATAAAGAAAGAAAAGCTGACCACTCTGTGTAATGATAATTTCACATGTCTGCATAGGATCCCCTTTCCCTAAAAGTAGGATTCTTACAGACAAATACAGAACCCACAGATCTGCTTTTCTACCGAAAGTAAGATGCCTCTGACAAGTAGGGCCCTCTAGTCCCTTCAGATTGACTACTTTCCACCGAAAGCAAAGATCCTTCAGACAGCCAGGACCCCTAGTCCACTCTGCCTGTCCTTTTACCCAAGCAAAAGAATCTTATCTTACTTTCCAGCCCAAAAGCAGCCGAAAGTAATGAAAGAAACTTTTGAAGAATTTGAAGACTCAGTTGAAGTCCGGAAGCCCCTTTCCTATATAAGGCAGCCTCCTCTTCTCTGTTAAGCAAGCTTTGAAATTTCAGACATTCCCAAGTCTGGTTTCAGAGATCATTACAAACCCCTCTAGTTTTGTAATCTAACCCCTATCACTTGTATAAGCCTTCTTCATGATGCAAAAGAAGTGCTCCACAAGCCATATTACCACTTATTTCCACTAGACCACTAGTTCTAGTGTTGTAAGTATTTATCTTTAATTAAAATATTTTGTGTAATTTCATATCTGTTCCATATTCTTCTTTATTCCTCTACAAATTCCGCATGTCTTCTTATTTGGTATATATATATATATATATATATATATATATATATATATATGATAACACCGTCTAACGTGGAAGGTATCGAATGCGATAATTATGAATATATATTGAAATAGTGAGATCTACCATTTTGGTTAATGACTTTCTATTACCGTTGTATTCTATATTTTCATCAAAACACTACGGTCTGAAAAATCGCATATCATCAGTTGCCACCTAATATGTTGTCGGAAAGTTTCCGCCAACGGACCAGATTCTCCCACCTCGCACGCTCCCATTGGCCAGCTCTCACATCAAGAACAAAGAGACACAATGATTGGTCCACGTTGTGGAACCTGGATAGCTCTAAACTAATAAAAATGATTGGTCCACGTTGCGGAACATCGATAGCTCTAAAATAATAAAATACATTAAAAAATTAAACAAAATATGAGAGAGTAAAGCTTTAAATGAGAGACTCGTGTCGAAGGGGCACAAGACACTTGTCATCTCCGCCAAGCCCTAGCCGGCGAAGAAGAAGGTAACGACAGTCTCTCTCTCTCTCTCTCTCTCTCTCTCTCTCTCTCTTCTTTGTCATTTAAAGGATGAAAGTATCTCTCCGTGGACTTTATTGTCTACCCTAATTTAGGAAATTTTAGTTTTTTTTTTTGTCTCTTGTTGTAATAAATCGGAAATTGTAAATTTTTTTTCTCTGTTGAAACTTTTTAGATCATCAATTAATGGAAAAAAAATTCAGTAGTATGCAGGCTGAGGCTGTAATTTTTTTTTTTTTACTTGGGTTTATCTAATTAGTGTAGTTTATCGTGAAAATAGTGGTAATCATGGGGATAATAGAGTTTGGGCTTATAAATTTCCTTGTAGTTTTGGTTTTTCCTTTTGGTTTATAATTGTTTTTAGATGGAAATGAGCTTTAGAAGAGAGTAAAGAGAGAATTTTTATATGTAATATATGTATTGAATATGTATGGTTGAATGTGTTTGTTATGGACGTTTGAGAATGGCCTTGTGTTTGTTTTGGGTTTCAGTTTCAAAGGCGTTCCACTCGAGATGGAGAAATTCATGTGATTTATAGGCCCCATTTTTCCTTTGAATTTTTATTGATTTATTTTTAATTGATTGGATTTCTTATCCAATATCTTTTGATGCGCACTCAATTTTTTGTTTAATACAAGAGTTTTGTTTATTATCAAAAAAAAGAAGAGAGAATGGCCTTGTGTTCCAAATCTGAAACTAAAGAGAACTACCCAAAAGTGAGTAAGGTAAAATTCCGATTTGTATTGAATTGGATGGGTGTACAGGATACTACTTTGATTCGTTTTGATACTTTTTTTTTCAAGCTAATTCATGTTCTTGTAAATGGGTTTTCTTATTTAGGCCAACATTTAATGTTTTAAGCTTTCTGTAGCTAGCCATAATTGAGTTTGCATATGAGATTCTGAAGGTCTTTATGTTATACTGTGATTTTTCAAATATAGAAGTTTATTCCTGCAGTATGATTTTCATGGTTTCTTGAATTTTAGTTAAAACCAAAAAGAAATAAAAGAAAATTTCACTTTTGTTCTCTAATCGTAAATTCTGTTGGTTTTGTTTTTGGAATATGGGGTTGGACAACTGGAAGATGACAGTGGAGATTTTGTGTGCAGTTGATTTACTTACTATGAGAGTTTGTTCATGTGATGATACTGGATGTTTTTGTTTAATTCACTTAGCTTTCCTTTTCTTGTTTAATAATGTTTCTGGAATGAAGAAAGCAAAGGCAAAGGATATTTAAGACTGTTCATCTGGTTGAGTTGTTTGCCAGATCTACTTCCTGTTGCTTGGATATCTAAGAGAATCAGTTTGGACTTTGGATCAATTGTTACCTCTCCTTTGAGTTCTTGAATGATGGGTTCTTATATGAATTTTAAGAACTTTGGAGACACACCACAGGCAGAAGGCAGTGGGGGTAAGCCAGCAGGGAATTTCTCGCTGGCACGACAGTCTTCCATATACTCTTTAACCTTTGATGAGTTACAAAACACTTTGGGTGGACATGGAAAGGATTTTGGGTCTATGAACATGGAAGACCTTCTGAAAAACATTTGGACGGCCGAAGAGACTCAAGTCATGGCATCCTCCACTGTTGGAGGAGAAGGGGGTATCCCTGGTGGGAATTTGCAAAGACAGGGCTCCTTAACATTGCCAAGGACACTTAGTCAGAAAACTGTTGATGAAGTCTGGAGAGACTTGCTTTACGAAAGCGGTAGTGTAAAGGATGGGAGTGGCAGTGGGATCCCCCACTTGACTCAGAGAGAACCAACTCTAGGAGAAATTACATTGGAGGAGTTCTTATTGAGAGCAGGGGTAGTGAAAGAAGATATTCAACCAATTGCAAGACCAAACAATGCGGGATTTTATGGTGAAATGTCAGGACTGAACAACAACAACAACACCGGTTTCTTTCTAGGATTTCAAGAACCAGTTCGCAACCATGGAGTGTTGGCTAACCAAATTGGGGAGAATAATAATGTGGTTCAGAACCCATCTCCTAATATAGGGCTGAATGTTGGTGGAGTCAGAACTTCTCAGCAACAACTGCAGTCACAACCGAATCAGCACCCACAACCACTCTTCCCCAAGCAACAAACTGTGGCGTTTGCCTCTCCTATGCATTTAAACAACCAGCTTCCTAGCCCAGGAACGAGGAGTCCAATTGTTGCAAGGGCAGATCCTTCTATGAACACTGCTCTAGTCCAAGGTGGTGTCATACAGAGTGGAGCAATGGGCATGTCTGGTATGGTTACTGGGGTTAAGACAATTGCAGGAGGTTCTCCTGCAAACCAGTTATCTCCAGAAGTGATCGCTAAGAGAAATTTAGTTGCATCATCACTATTACCTTCTCCTTATGCTTTTAGTGAAGGTTTACGAGGAAGGAAAAGCAGTAACAATTTTGAGAAAGTGGTAGAGAGAAGGCGTAGGAGAATGATTAAAAACAGAGAGTCTGCTGCAAGGTCACGAGCTCGGAAGCAGGTGATTTTGTTGAAACAGCTTGCATATGTTTGTCTAGTCTTGTTTTTTGGTGTGGAAATATAGACCATATTGGGAAACAACATATTGCTCTAAGGAAAAATTGATATGGCCAATTAGTAAAACAGAGTAGGATAAGTATAAACGTATAGATAGCATTTTTTTTTCTTTTAAATTCTGAATAGAAAATTTAATGGAGCTATGTTATTGCCCTCACATACATGTATTATGCATAGATTATATGACATATAAATCATCCTAACCAAAATACATAAGTAAATAACTAGGTACAGAGCATGCATCTATTACAAAGCATAACATAGAGTCATGTATGATATTGAATTCGATGAAGATGTTGAAAATGATGTTCTGCTGTCAACTTGCAAGTTTGTTAATGTGACCTGTTTGGGATATCTAAAGGTCCCATAGACAACTATATCACCCAATGTAGCTTGGCCTGTTGATAAGAGTTGTTTTTCTTAATGTATGATGGATGATGCACTGATGTTAATGCTCCTTCTGGATTTTTTTAGGCCTACACTGTAGAATTGGAAGAAGAAATTGCAAAACTTAAGGAAATTAACCAAGAGTTGCAGAAGAAACAGGTGTGTTACTAATAGCAGTAGTCCTAGTGTTCCTAAAATGTCATTGCAAAATTTTGGGTTATGATGAACATTGGTTTATTACAGGAAGAATATGCAGAGAAGCGAAAAAATCAGGTGCGTACTTAATTTGATTTTATATTCAGATTCTATTATTTATTTTAGTTCTCTTGGTTTTTAGTTTGGGTTAAGGGGAGGGAGGTGGGGGTGAGCAGGGGCAGAACTACAGTGGGGCACTGCAGGGTGACTTTGTATTTTAGGCAATACCTGGGATTCTTTCATTCAGGAAACATGTGCCATCATTTGCATTTCGTATACTTTCAACTCCTGTTGCAAGGTTAGTGGGCCCATACATCGAGTTTAAAGATTACAGAGCTAACATGAACAGATCTTAGTCATGTATTTCTTAATCCTTGGTTTCAAATGAAACCCAAAAAAAAATAAAAATGAAACAAAAGTCTTATTAAACTCTAAACAAATATGAACGTACAACCAAGTTAGGGGTGTGCTAAAAGAGTCTAATTTCACACTCAAATCTCTTTCCTCCAAGGGCATCAAAAAAAAATTATTTGGATAAATTTGAGAAAATATTTGTAGTTTTTACAATTTTAGATATGATCCACAAACATGACAGAGAATTAACAGAGAGTTTTAATCTTAATGGATTTGGATAATGAATGGGTGCACTCATTAGCCTCAATTAAATGCTTCAACACGAATCTGGATAAACTAAATACGAATTTGATAAAAACAACTTGTATACGATACGAACTTGAGAGGACATGAACACGACTACACACAGTTATAAATATGTCTTCCTTTAGATTTTCCATTTGTGGGTATGATCCCCTTTCTCTTTGTTCTCTCTCTTCTGTCTTCCCCCTCTTATTTTTTCTCACTTCGTTTTCAAGTTCAATTAACGTTTTTATCTAGTCAATTGATTGGATAATTTAAAGGTAAATGAAAGCTTAGGAGATTCTATTGCAACTATTGTTAGAGATAACGCATTAACAATTCTTCGATTTTAACAACTTTTGTGATTTTTTTGTGCAGTCATTGTGGTTTCTATTATTGCCACCCATTTAAATTTTTTTGCTGTAGTAGATGATTGAGTTTTGATCATTTGAATTTGAACTGAAATACGACAATTCAATTGGTTGCATATCAATCTTTTTGAAATATTACATGCAATGATCGATCTTTGAAAATTGGATAGTGAAGACATAAAGGAGTTGGATTATGCAAAAAGAGGTTATTCCAATGGTCTTGAATCAACTCGGCATTTGTGGATATTTTTACAATGCTTGTCTATATGGATAGTTTTACAATGCTTGTCTGTGTGGATAGTTTTACATTGCTTGTCTATATGGACTGGTAATGAAATTATAAATATAAAAATGTATCATTGACGATTGTATTTGCGAAAATAATGTTGGCATTATGATTTTAAGTTATCACTGAGTTTTAGGTTGCCTCCACTATAAACAAAGTCTGGCTACTCCTCTGGGAGTGAGCATAGTTAGATTTGATAGTGATCAAATCTTTGATAATTTTGAACATCACATCTGAAAACTTTTAGCCATGTCTATGTTTACTTGTGATGAACTTGTTGACTATTATTGTTAGGCTAGACCATTTTAGCTACCACAGAGGGTGTTAAGTTACTGGTCATCTCTTTTGTTTGTTTCACAGATCAAGGAGAAGATGATTATTCCATGGGGAGGTAAACAACGTGGCCTGAGGAGAACATTTACGGGACCTTGGTAAAACAAATGGTGGTGAGAGTATGGAAACACCTGGCGCTTGCTAAAATCCGATCAAAATCTTGTTCCACACATCATAGTTAGGTGCATGTATAGAAGAAGCAAAGGGTGTCCTGCTGTAATATATGAACCTGGGATTAGATGAATCTTATATAGATTAAGTTTTTCTATTTGTGTGATATGTTTGCTTCTTGGTTTAGTGCTGATGCAGGGTATTGGCACTTGTGGAACTTGTCTAATTTCAGGAGTATTTATGACCTTAGCATCTTTGAATGGCTATGGCATACTCTTTGCATCCTTCTTGTGGCTTGGGTACCCTTTTTCGTTTTTGTTTTCTTGTTTACGTTTGCTTTATATCTAATTTCAGCTTCATAAATCCCAAAAAGGTCTCAGTCACACTGCCACCCGAGCGGGTGATTTAGTGGTAAACCATACTCGTTTAAAGTCATCATAATTTTCATGTAATTATCAAGTAGGATTCGATTTATGGGAATAACACAATTTGTTACTTGACTTTGATGGTAATATGATGACAAACTGCCCTTCGGAGTTAGTAGTTACAGTTCAAACCAAACATTCCACAATGAAAGACCGGGACTCTCATGGTCACCTACTGTTTTGTATGTAGGGCAAATTTCGTTGCCCCTTATTCCCTGCGGGCGCCGCCCCCGGGGAGGAGGGAGGTGGGACAGAAGTCTTGCTAAAGTAATGAAGCAAATGTAAAACAAGAACGAACAAACAGTCAGAATAAGAACTGAAAATTTGAATTTTTAGGCGCAATAATGTGACAGTAGCAGTATAACCCCACAATAATCTACTCTGTTAACACTGCAAGAATTTTGGCAAACCACAACTGTTTATGTTAATATATTTCTTTTTATCACGATAGTATACATCAGAATGTTCACAAAGCAACATGAAACTGCAAAAGTGATCTATATAGATCAATTGTCGCATGGCAATAATGGTAAATGGGACGGCAACTTAATCTCTATCAAGAATGCTATTTGTAGAGTTCAGAAGAAAAAATACTTGCTCTCTGCCAGTCACCGAGGGTCATTGAGCTGAGAAACTTTGCATCATCTCGGGCATGCTGGAAGAGGAAAACGATAGACACAGTAGATCTTATATCCTTGACATTTAGTCAGTGCCCCTCAGCTGCAATCCTGAACAGAAGCAACAGAAGATAAGACCTGGAAACAGTAACAGGTATGATCTTGAAGACGCGTTCTGTCAAGCATTTAAATGCCCACCACAGTTGTAAAGCCAGACCAAATTCCACAAGGGTTGATTGCCACTTAACATTGGGAATAAAAAACACACAACCAACGTTGCCTGTACATGATAAAAGCCACAGAGACTCCTTCTGATGACTGTTTGGGTCCAGGAAATAATTCCAATTTTCATGGACTCATGCTTATGGGATCTATTAAAGACTGGACCTTACGTATCTCTAGCTCCTGGGGTACTCAAAAACAAGGCCTTCTGCTACACTCCTCGCCCTAGCATAACCAAAAAGCTTGCTCACAATGTCCAATGCAAAATCTATCGCTGTGGCAAGTCCCCTGCTTGTGATCAGTTTACCGTCAATAACAACCCGGGAACCTTTGACGTCTTCATTGTTGAGAAAGCTTATAACTGAGGGATGAGCAGTGGCTCTCTTATCCTGCTTTTGAAAAAGAACCATCAGTTTAACATATCATCACCAAGAGGGCACAGAGAAGTCAACTTGTTCAACTTACCTTGAGCAAGCCTTGTCTATAAAGGATTGTCAATGAAGAGCAAATTGCTCCGTATATTCTTCCAGCTGATTCTTGGTCTTTAAGCAACTTCTTCAGAACCCTAGACTTGTGCAGCCGCTCGGCCCCGATAATTCCTCCCTGAAAACTTGGGACCAAGAAGCTCTTGAGAACAATGAGGTAGAACCAAAAGATATCATCTTTACATATATTAGTTCTTGACTTCCAAAACAGGGGCTAGAAAAGTAAAGCCCATTCAACTCCATGGTAACAGTATAATGCACTCAAATATAATCAGCATAAAAGGATAGAGAAAAACATATTCATGGTAACAGAGAAGCAGGAATGGTACACAATAATACAACAGTAGTAATGCCTTGACCAGTTAACCACTAGCTAAGTGGATATAGTAGCAAAAGGCTGTGGTTAAATTTACCACGGAAGCCCGTAAAATGTTCAAATTTATGAGGTTCAATTTTGATCTCAGGCCACCCAAATATAGTTTTAATTAAACCAAGGTCATATCTCAACCAATGGAAGTTCAAAATATAATGACGAGTCCTCAATCTAATCATATATGTAAGCTAATTTCTTTGTCTCACCGGAAGGATGATCAAATCATATATTGACTCAGCAGCACAACCAATTAACTTGTCTGCAACGATTCTTGTGCCTCCGGATGCCAATATCTGTAAGGATTTTTCAACTGAAGCAACAACAACATCCACTTTTGCTCGCCTCAAAATATCTACAATTACAACCACTTCAATCTCTTCAGAACCATTTGCAACTGGAATAAGTACCTGCGACATTAAAGTAGATAGAATACTTAAGAGCTTCCCTTTAATGAAGAGAGGGAGAGCCGCAAAAACAAGCAATGGCTGAGAAAGTGTCGGATAATGGGAAGTCCGGTAATTGGTTTCCATAAGTATAACATACAAGCAGAGGAAAAAATGATCGGCGCAAGTATTTGCAAACAAAACCGAACAAAACAAGGACACAAATATCAGTTCTACATTTTATTCATAAAACCATTATGAAAAAATAATCTTTGGAAAGATACTCCTGAGAAGATACAATTTTGTACAAAACACTCAGCTCCCAAATTGAGCTTCCTATCCTATTTTTATCAAGTTAGCAACAGCAGGAATGCATCTGAGAAGGAATGCATGACAAGATTACTGACTCAGGAACAGCAAGTCCCATTCAACTAACAGATACTCTCTAGTCGAAAACAAACACAGAATACTAATGGCTTTTTCTACTTCACCTCTCTATGAAATAACACAAAATAGAAGGAAACATTGAAGATCAAGCTTCAAATTACAATCAGAAAGATGAATGATGGTACTGGCTAAATTTAGTAGCCCTTATGGGTAAACATGCATTCTCATTGACTACAAAGTAGAAACCAAGAATGATGATGGGCCGTTGTAACACAGCACTTCTCTTTTAGCATCAAGATTGCCGGAAAAGTGACATCCGTGAGGTTATGAAGATCCTAATCACTTTTGGTGTAAATAAAAGAACACTCAAACCTAAACTACATTTTTAGGGAGAGAATTAGCTTAAGTTAATTAATTTCAAAAATTAATGATGTGGCAGCTGCAGTACCAGTAAAAATCCGGAGGACTGCATTAAGACTATCAAGGTTGATTTGATATCCAGGAATGGTTTACAAGAACTTACCTGTCAGCTGTGAATGTATAAATTTAATAGGTAATCCATACTTTGCTAAGCAGAAAACGGTCTACTTACAAGAGGGATATGATTCACAGACCACTCAACTGCATTGAATTCTTCTTTTCTGGGAGCATCATCATCAACACCATGCATGAGCTAATGCAAAAGGAAAAAAGGTTTGTCAGCTCATACGGATTACCCGCAGAACAAATGAAAGATAATTACATAACATGAACTGTGAAACAGAATGCACTGGATTGGCTCTCTATATTCTCATATTAAAATATAGCATGGCCTCAGGGCATTTATGTTAATGTTCTTTAACCTCTCCTTTTCACCTTTACTTGTGCCTTGTTCTTGGGAATCAAACTCTTCAAAATGGGGGTAAGACTTCATACCACTGACCTCTCCCAGCCCCCGATATAGTCTGGAGCCTTGTGCACTAGGTACAGCCTTTCATCTGTGTCTGTTCAGCGATAGATTACAAGATAGATTCTACAGTCAAGGGGCATACTTTCTCTTTTTAATGGTGCCTCTACATGACAATAATGATTGATAGCCAAACTTACACGTTTGGATAGATTTTCTATATCTCTCTTTCGGGTAAGACATCAAATTTAAGACACACAATATATTTCCAACTTCAGGTCAACAAATTTTACTCGGTAGATAGTTTTAAGAAGACTATTTAATCAAATGAAGTAAATAGGAGAACTGGTCCTTAGAAACTTTACAAGAATAAGATTTACCATTAAGTTCTTATCATAAGAGAATCCAGAAAAGAAGGATATGGTTAGGCATTGTTTCACATGCACTGCTACCTCGTGGCAATGCATGTGCTTCACTTGGAACCAAACAATTGTAAAAAAAAATTGCCTCTTAGTAATGAGGGGGCAACTTAATCATAGTAGCTTTGGGAGGAAATGACTTCCTTATAAGCAATCAAAGTATTATTATGACATTGTATATCCTTCTAGACAGGATGCAGCTACAACAGGCAATAGAAAAACGGATTGGAAAATGATGATATTCTCCACATCTCACCAGTAGTTTTCCAACCTCCATGGCAACAGATTCCCCAAAGAGCTGTCCCACTAAAGATGTAGCAAACTCAAAAGAAGTACCAGGGCCACGGCTTGTTGTGAGCTCTCCTGAGACTTGAATGTTTGTTTTGACAGCCCAGAAGGTTGGAAGCTTGTCTATAAACGCAGGGTGACAAGTGGTCTTTCCAGACAAAACAAAACCCAATTAGCAAGCCCAATATTCATGAAGTATAAATATTGTATGAATTTATCAATATTTGACATAAGATACTAAAACAATGCAAGATACCTGTTTCCTCTTGAGAAGGCCCCATGGCAAAAGTGCGACCGCAGGAGCAGCACATATAGCCCCATATGGCCTTTTCTCTTCAGCTTGTTTACTTGTAATTTTTTTGAGAATTTCAGAGTCTCTTAATCGTGCTGAGCCAGGCATTCCTCCCTATACATATGTGTAACATCAGCATTGTAAAAAAAAACTTTCAAGCCAAGTGCAAGTGAATAGACCAATACCAAAAAGAAAAACGAAAAGGTGAAAGGAAATATGAATGTAAGAAGTAAGAACAAAGGGTAATTGACTAGGACCTGAGAAATCATTCAGTAACAGAACAGCCTGGAATTAAACATACTATCCTGAGACTGATCATATGAAGCTCAGTTGCAGGAGTTATTGGACATTTACAAAAGCTAGTCACACTTATAGATTCAAGTAGGTTTACTGCCAAAATGTTGCGAGTGGCTTTAGATCCACATGTTATTGCTACATACAAAAATGAAAAAATAAAAATAAAAAAAGCGGATTTCACAAGTCAAGTAGCCAAGTCTGGGATCAGAGAAAAAGATAAAAACTGTTATCTTTCGGGCTTTAGTATCAGAGAAGGAACGAAAACCGTAGTTACAAGGAGCTTTAACAGGGGCAACGTCACGGAACTCTTTTAATGGGACTCCTAAATGAAACTCATTATCCCTATACAATTCTTCAACAATATTCAAACTATTTTGAAATTTCAAGAACAGTTCTCAGACTTCATTGGGTATAGAACTCATGTAAATATTCTGAGACTGCACTTACCCACATATGATTTTTGTTTAACTGGTTTAATATTTCAGGTTTACAATGCGAATCAATCACAATGCCACATAGAAAATAGGGGATTTAGTACAAACACATCACACAGTTGAGAGTTTGAAGACTGACCGGCAAAGCAACTAGATCAAAAATATCATCGGAACAAGTCGAGATAGACGTATCAGCAACAAGTCTGGTACCTCCAGAAGCTTCAATCTCTAGCTCTGGCTCTACCGACGCCAAGGTCACTTCTGCACCAGCTCGGCGCAATACATCAACCAATATCACAGCTTCCATTTCCTCCGTACCAAATCCAATCGGAACCAAAACCTATAGACCCACAAATTATGCTCATGACCCAAAATTTTTCAAAAAAATTATTGATATTGTTGAGTTTAGTTTGCAATTTTTCCACAAGTTAAAGACACCCAAAACATAAAAGGGATTGAATTTCAAGTTCTCTACGAAAACCAAAGAGATATTGTGAGTGCAACATTTGAAAATACCTTCTTTCGAGGGAGATGGGTGGTAGTATTGGTGGTGGTGGGTGGAGAGAGGGTTTTGGTGGGTTTTGAAGAGCGTTTCGGAGTGGGTGTTTTTCGTTGTTGAGTGACGGCATAGATGGAAGGTAAGGATTGAAGAGAGGTGGTTGAGAAGGCCATTGGAGGTTTCGCAAGAGGAAGAGAGAGAAGAGGGGACAGAGACTTCATTGTTTTTCCCTGGTATGTCTGTTCAGTTCACCATTTCCGCGGTAGTCTGTGACTTTTTGGATTTTACAGTACCGAGCCGGGCCGGACAGTTTAGCCAGGCAAAGTGGGCCTGTGCAACTTGATCGACCTTTCCTAATTTTGTCAGGTTGAGCGTCGGAGTCTATGTCGTTTGTGATTTTTTAGAGGGTAAATTGTAAAAGGTACATTAAATTAAATTTATTTGGTAAAATGTATTTACTAAAAAATATAGGGTTATTAACTCCTTAATTTTGATATTTTTTTGTATTTAAATACACAATTTGAATTTTTCTAATTTTTTTGTGACATTTTTGTCCTCCATTGATCCATATGTATGGTCTTTGGAAAGTGGTATATTAAATATTTCATAATTTTATTGAATAATTTTAGTATTTAATACACCTTGATTCATGTGTATTTGTTAATATATATATACACACACACACGTGTGAAGTGTAACATTAAAAGTGTAAAATATAACATTTTTGAAAATGTAAAGTGTAAAATATTATCTTACGTCTCACCTTTCTTAATAGAAAGTGTAAAGTGTTATAGGGTAATATTGAAAGTAACAATAACAATGTAACAAGCTATTTACACAAGGTAAGGAGAGACATTACCTAAAGTGTTACACAAACAGAATATACATGTCTCATCTTACACTAAAAATGCTAATTAATTGAGAAAGTGTGAAAGCGTTACACTTTCAATGTTAACATGTAATATTTTACATTTTTCATTAAGTAAAGTGAGACATAAGATAATATTTTACACTTTCAATGTTACATTTTACACGTATATATATATATTTGTATATGTACTTTTATATATATATATATATATATATATATATATATATATATATATATATATATATTAATAAATATACATTAATTAATGTGCATTAAATATTAAAGTTCTCCCATAAAATTAGGAAATATTTAATGCACCACTTTCCCTAAAATGGGCATTTATGTCTTTGTATCTAACTAGTGTACTTTTTTCTAAAATATTTTTTAATATGTAATTTTTGTCAAATAAGTCTAATTAGGTGTACCAACTTCTAAAACCTTTTTTTTTTCAATGGTGAAAGGTGTTTGAGTCAGTTTATATGTTTTTTAACTAATCTATTTTATGATTTAGGTAAAAGTAAGTCATCCATATCAAAAATAAGATATTTATGAGAGATAATTCTCTCATTATCTGACCTTAAAATATTATTGAACTTTTAACTTACAAGTTTGGGTAATCAAGATGCTAAAGTTACATTAGGAATCCTAATGTTCATCGGTCTTCGTACCAATCAACACTAGGAATCTATCATGTCCATGGTTTAGGTTGGTCCATGGGCTCCATTACGAAAAATAAGGCTTAAAATTTGATAAGCTTGATAGTTAACTCACCGCCTGAATTCAATAACCTTCAAAAAAAAGTTTAGGCCTTCCTGAGCCCGTTACCTTGCCTAAAACCCAACCCATTAGCCGGCCCGCAAAAAAAATAAAACCCAATCTAATAACTGGCTCATCCACCCAACTTTGTTTGGGAAAAAGAAATTGACTATTGAAAATTAAACATGCATGTACTAAGTATACATTGCATCATTTTATGTTTCCACGTAAATATATATGTTTTAAAAAAGTAGAGTTGTGTAAATGATATATATGTGTCAACCAAATTAGAATGTACTTATTCTATTGTGATATAATTTCTATATTTTTTTATAAATAAAATTATTTTTTATTTATTTTTTATCTATTTAAATTCTATTTTTAATTAAAAAATATAATTTACAAAAAATACCAAGTTAAAATTTTTTTAAACGAATATGATATATATATATATATATATATATATATAAAAGACTGTCTAATTAATGATTGGTTGGGTTACAGCTAACCTATCTCATCCGAAGTACAATTTAGTCAGCCTATTAACTCACTAGAATAAAAGTTTAACCCTACTTTACCCAAGTTTCAGTCCGATATTCTCGGTGCTCGAATGGATCCATCACTATCATATTATTTAAGCTGTATTTTTTGTTTTTTTTTTTTGAGTGTAGGATTACTGTCGACATATTTGACATGGTTTGCTGTCCTACACTTAACACATTTGCGCGATATTTATGTAATTTACTTTTAAAAAAATAACAAAAAATAAAAAACACGCGCACCTTAGAGTTTGTTGTTTGGTAGTGCACTGCCTGTCACCGTCCATCGGTCGTCCTTTTCTTCTGTTCTTTATCTGAAACAACAAATACAGTCGTACAAATCGCCTCATCGCCTTGTGGGGTTATGTGTGTGTATATAGGTTAAATGACACTTTATATCCTAAAAAAATCTCTAATTTTTAATTTGTACCTTAAAAAATAAAATTCTTATGTTGTTCTTTTAATTAAATAAAAGTGTGCAATTCTTCCATTTCAATAAAGTTGAGTATAATTATTAATATAGAATACTTAAAATTAAATATTATGCAAAAAAAATGTTACTTAAACTTAAAATATTGACTTCGTCAATCATAACTATTTTATAGATAATGAGTTCTAATAAATACTAAAATTTATAATTAAATTAATGACAGTGATCGATAAAGTTAGCAAATAAAGTTAAAATTTTAAGTTCAAGTAACATTGTTCTTATATAAATAATTGTATATAGAAATAAGATAATTTGATTTTTTAATCTAATTGAGGGTATAACATAAGAATTTCAATTTTTAAGGTATAAATTGAGAATTATAGAATCTTTTGGGGTATTAAGTGTCATTCACCCATATATATATACAACATGTATGGCTGCAAAATCGGAGCTTCGCATTTGCCCCTTTTAATGGCTTCGTCGTCGTGTGCTTCGTCTTATTATCATCCTTCTTTCTCTCTCTCAAACCCGCTTGCCCTCCTCAACCATACTCTCTCTCCTTCGCGGTGTCAATTTCAACAGATAAACCCTATTGGGGTCTCGTTTCAGCGCAAGAGGGATGTTAAAGTTCGAAATTCCCCTTCTCGTCTACGGGTCTTGTGCCTTCGTGACCCCAGAGGTACCTCCTCTCTTTCTCTCTCTCTCTCTATATATATATATATATCTGAGATTCAATGAATGAGATTGTCACGTTCCGATCTGTACAGTGGCTGTTGTAATTATTGGTGTTACTAGTAATTTTACTTGTGGTTTTAATCGATGATAACTGATCAAAACCGTGTTGCGCAAAATCAAAAGTCGAGAATATGTTTGGGTGCAACTAATAGGCTTTAAACAGGCAATTAATGAGAAAACAGTAAATTAGAGCAAATACTCAGATTTATAGTGACTCGGTCTGGGTGACCTACTCCACCCTCAAGAATAATAGCGGTGGCCGGAGCTATTTTATTGATGAATAATATAACCGGAGAGTAACTGCGGGTGTATTACAAAGCTTGGATGAGAGAGAGGGATAATGGGGTGTAGAGAGATATGTGTGAGGTCTTAAGGTGATGCCAAGATGCATCTTCTTGTGGAGAGAGTTTACATTATATAGGTTTAGTAAGATGGTTAGGCGGTGACGTGAAAGAGAGGACTTTTACTATTTTGGTAAGTATAATTAAGACAAGATTAGATCACCGTGCGTATCCCGATATTTTCTCCTTTGTGTTCCTATTCAGTCGGAGGAGGATCTGAGCTGGGTTGGATTTGATCCTGAACTTGGACTTAAGTTGAAGTGGGTTGGGCTGAGGTTGGAGGAGTGACGAAATCAAGAGGCGAAGGAGAAACAGGCCAGGCCTTGGGCGGTGCCTAGGCTTGGGTGAACCCCTTTGGGCGGCATCCCTTGATCCCTCTTTGGACGTTGGCTTCTTGATCTTCTTTTGGAATCCCTCTTGATGGGTTCACCCAGCTCCGTTTAGACGCTGGTGACTTGGACTCTTTTTTGGATACTGATTATTTGGACCCTCTTGATTTATTGGCCCTCTTGATTTATTTTTATTGGGCCTGGCCCAGTTGATTCCGGGTTCATCATTTGCCCCCCATGTTCCAAGTCTCTGTTTTTTTGTGAGAGGAAGGGGTTGAGGGCATGTGTTCTTCTTCACTTGAGTAGGAGTTTTCTTACTCCTTACGGTGCTTTTTCATCTTTGGGGACTCTGTTGAATTTATCAGTATCGGATAATTTTTTTTTTTTATATCCGGGACTTTGTCTATAAATAGTGGTCTCTGGTTTCTTCCTCCTCATTCCTCTTTTCATTTCTCATTTCTGGAGGCTTTTCTTAGAAGCTGTCTTTCCAAGCTTCTTCAAGAAGCTATCCCCTCAAGCTTCCTCAAGAAGCTGTTCAACAAGGCTTCCTCAAGAAGCTACTCTTTCCCTATTTGAAGGCTTCTATAGGAGGTCACTGTTCCTCACTTCCATCTTCCTCACTACCATTTCTCTCCTTGAATTTATTCTCTTCTTGAATCATAGAAAACCCATGGAGACTAGGAGCTCTCGGTGGCATGGAGAGGAGCAAAGTGGAGACCAAGGTCTTGGCCTCATAGGCGGTGCCCATAGTGGTGTGGCAGTGGGCGGTGCCCATGATGCTTGTTTGGAGGATGGCACCTATGCCGCTGACCCTGTAGGTGGCGCCCCTGGTTCACTTGTTGATAGTTCCCGAGCCTTGGGCAATGGAGTTGAGGAGCGGAGAGGAGATGATAGGGGCGGCGCCCAAGGCGTTGCACCCGCTTTGAGAGGCGCCCACTGGTCCAATGATTATGCCTCAAGGGCCGAAGTGAAGAAGGGTTTTGGAGAGGTACCTAGGCGACGCCGTCAAGGAAAACAGGGGCAGCACCCATTGCAGGAAGGGAGGCACCATGGGTCCGGGCGATGGTGAAGAGAGTGCGAGAGATGCCCTAGGCGTGCCTAGGCTACTAGGTGGTCAACATGGGGAGACATGCAATGTTGGTGATAGGCCCTTTGGGATTCTTGGTGCAAGATTAGGCACAAAAGGACTTCGAACAAGCCTTTTAGTGTAGCGAGAAGGACCTCCGGCGTCGAAGAGCAACAAGGAGGGTCCTCAAAAGAGTCAGACAGCGTCTGTCATG